TTACAAATACTTGTGTGTTGCGTGTAAAGAAATTTCGTAATTGTATAATTATGAATCAATGACCCAAAGTGAAGGACAAATAAAGCTGGCGAACCGGGGAATACAAGAAATAAATATTTGAAACAAAAAACCAAAAGTTATAAGCGAAAAACCCGTTGTAGAAATACCAAAACGCTGCGCCAACAATAAACACAATTAATTAAAATTAAGCGAAGACAGCGTTGCGTTTAATATTTGCGCTGTCAATAAATTTATGAACTTTGCGACTTCGGGTGACTTGTGGAGTACTCTTAACTGCGCCGTTGGGTTTTTCTCATAAGGTCGTTGTCGATATCGTTGACTTTTTTCGCCGCCTGTGTAAATAGTAACAACATCATATCATACAGCTTAATGGGTGTGGGCTGTTGGGGCTGTATAGGGGTATCGAGGTTGGAGGAGCGATCGGATCAAGTGGGCGGTGGTGCCATTTGTGAAAGTGTTAAGGTTGTCAAGTGCCAGGCAATCAGAATTTCCCATATTGCGCAGTTCTAAACGATTTCATAACGGTCATTAATTGCTAAAACATGAATCCGATTAAAGTAATACCTGCTAAAAAAAAAATACTTTCTAAAAATGGTAATAGAAATATGACATTATTTTCGAAAAACAGGTATTTACTACAATGAATTAAAATTCTGATAAATTTTAATTATTCTTTGTATTAATTTGTATAAAGTTTTATATTATTCGGATAAAAATGTTGAAAAGTAGTGAAAAATTTTTGTTTCTATGTCGAAAAGTATGCAAATTCTTGGTTCTACTATCTGTACCTTACCTATATGCTTATGCTGTTTACTTGTTTTTGAACGTGCCTTTTTAAATCGTGACATCAAGTTCAAATTTATTCATAAGGCGATAACATTATTGCGAATTTCTGGTTCGCAAAGTTAAACATTCACAGTCATTTACTTACTTTTATATGCCTTAATAAAAAGCTTCAGAAATGACTACAAATATTTGTGACAATTGAACCCATTAAAATATCAATTGCTGGTATAAATTAAAACAAAAACGTTCAGATTTAAACCTTTTTCGATCGTTTAAAACGCTCTGAAGTCAGAAATACATATCTAATTATTAAGCAATCACTGTATTTTTTCTGGTCTAACTGCTTTTTGGAGAAATATCTTCGACTCAGACTTGCTGGCTAAGGCAACGGATTAAAATCGGGGGGATCTTGTGACGCAGCCCTCTGTCCAGCGATGGGGGAATTCCCAAAAGCAAAACAAAGTTTGAAACAAACTTTTCTGTTTCATATTTCATGTTTTATACTGCCCATTCGTCTATTAATATCGAATATCGTTGAGTATGGGTCTTTAATCGTATGCTAACGATTGGCACGTTGCTGTGCTGAAAAGGCAACAACAATAAGTATTGTCTTTTACTAGCTCATCGGCTTCTCTTTTAGTTAGTCGAGCTTAAAAAACTCCATGTTGTCATCGTTTATTTTTAAAGCTTGTGACACAATTGTTGCTTTTGTAAGCTCCCAAAAAACAAAAAAAAAAGTGGACTGCGTAAATCTGCTGCCGACTTTCTTAAGCCGCTTTCTTTTGCAAAAATAGAGCTGGGATTTTCAAATCTCGTGCGTACTTGCTTGCAAAGATTAAAATTTGCAGAATAATCTTAGCCGTAATTTATTGTTTTTTCAGAGGGTAATTCTAAGGTTATCTTTAATGATTCTAATGACTCATAGATGGAATTTTTGCGGTATTACCACAGATAGTTCTGGGACTAAGGAAAACAACAGTTTCTTAGCGGAAATATCTTTCTGACCATGTAAATGTGTGTGATTTATGTAAATGTGCCAACTGTTTGTGTGTGAAAGTCAATCAACAGCACGTGTAGCCAGCCGCAAAAAACTAAAAAAAAAACTGGGAAAAAATATGGCAAAAACAGTAACAACAACGACTACGTCAACTAATCATAAAGCTATAAAAGCGAAGGCATGAAATACAAAAACAAACAGAAACTAAACAATCCACCTTTGTTTTTAGTTTTTTTAGTTTAGTTTCTTAGCCATACGATCTGTATGCGAGCATCGACTCGATCTGAAAAGTCGAGAATTGATTGAGAAAGAATCTGAAGAAGCAATGAAGAAGAAATAAGATGATAAAGATCTTTAAATCGCATTTTGTTTATTGCATTATCTTGTTTATATTTATTTAATTAATAGTGTTTGATTTTTGGTTAAACATATTTATAAAAACTACTTTAGTCTAAACTCTAGAAAAACAATTTCGATTTACATATGTATATCACTTTTCTTTTATAGACATTTAAAAAAAAAGCAGAAACAATTGCAAAAAAAATGAGATAAAAACTGAAACATGACCAGAATTCTCTGGTTTCTTTTCTGAAATGTCAGTTGAATTATTGCAAATTGTGTTATTATTATTTTAGACACTTGTGTTCGTGTGACCATATATCAGACTTCTATATGCTTAAACCAATTTGAACTTGAGCAAACTTGTTGCCGAGGCAGAAACCCAAAAGCCAACTTTGTATTTGGTTTGTTAACTTAACTTAACGCCAACTGTTTGACTTTTATTTTATTTTATTGTATTTTTTTCCCGCTTACCTCGTCACTCGCCTTTGTTGTTGTTGGTCGTTGGTGTGTTATTGCTGCTGTTTTATTGTGGGAATTTCTTGGGTTTTTCAACGCACACCAGTGCCGGCGATCGGGCACACAGATACTGGCATGCGAAGTCAACGGGTTGTCATATTGTCTTATAAGGCAAAAGCCTCCGCTTGGCACCCAGCCCCCCTGAAGCCACCTCTTTTGCCCTCCAACTGGTCATTGTCGTAATCAAAGCTTTTTTTTTTGGTTTGTATTATAAAACGCTACTTGTTTTACAGCGGAAAGCGATCGTAGCAGCTTTTTTCACTGGCGAAAAGCTTTCGGGCAAGGGATTGGTTTTCATTCATAAACTAAGCTTTTTCGATCCACAGTGGTGGGAAAGTATTATACAAATTTAACAAATTTATTGATGGTGTCATATTTTAAACACGTTTATTAATGATGATTAACTGCCGCGTCATTCTTGGTCATTAACATGATGGGCATCAATGAGCACAAGCGTGATCACCTTGCGGTATTTCTCATTACTAACAAATTATTTAGTTTTCGAAAATAATTCAGTTTATTAACCAACTTATTTTACTTTTTCAATTCCAGGAGAGCGCTGTGTACATTTGGCTGCAGAGGCGGGACACATCGATATCTTACGTATTTTGGTATCCCATGGAGCCGACATAAACGCTAGGGTAAGTTTAAAAATGTAATGCAAGTACCCAAGTATCCAAACTAATTATTGTTGCTTTAATAGGAGGGCAAATCGGGTCGCACACCGCTGCACATTGCGATCGAGGGCTGCAACGAGGATCTGGCCAACTTCCTGCTCGATGAGTGCGAGAAGCTCAACCTGGAGACAGCCACCTTTGCCGGATTAACGGCCTACCAGTTTGCGTGCATCATGAACAAATCGCGCATGCAGAACATCCTGGAGAAGCGCGGAGCTGAGACCATAACGCCACCGGACAGTGATTACGATAGTAGCGATATCGAAGATCTAGACGATACGAAGGTGAGCGTCACTGCTTAAGAAAATGTACCAAGAAAAGATCGTAGAGATCGTAGAACGTAAGATACAATTTGAAATGGGCCACCACCAGCTTCCAAAATGTTCAAAAACTAAATAAGAATATGAAGTCCCAAACTGAACTGGTATTCAGTTGGAAAAAATTGTTACACTTGAGCAATGAACTATTGTAACTCTAATGTATTGTTAACCAAAAACAAAAAAAAAACAAAAAAACAAAAGAAAAGAAAAAGAAAGCAAACAGCAGAAGAGCAGCAAGTAAAGTTAATATCGGCACTTGATCTATAACAAGGGATCTATGTTTTAGTAGAACCCATTTAAAACCAATTGAACCAAGAAAGTAAAGCTAGTGCACGAACGTCTTTACGAACAAACCATAGATAAAAACAATATTGTCGGGACAAAAATTTACCTTTTTTTCTATATATTCTTTAGGGAAATGCACTGTACCAATTTATAATATATTAAGCTGTCCAATGTAAAACTCTCGATGTTTTGCTATTTCTCTCCACCTACATCTATGTACTTGTATGCCTGTGACTGTACGTTTGTAATTTTTGTATGTGCGTGCGCGTGTATCTGTATTAACTAACTAATCTAATAATATTAAAAAAGGAATCATGAATCGTAGTACTAAGTTAGCTAAATCTAATTGATGTTTTCATGTTCTGACTGAATGAAATGATGTTGCAAAATAAATATTTTACTTTACAAAAAATGTACAAAAAAAATTCAAGCTGTAAAACGAGGGGTATTCACTAGCCCTGATAAAGTGTTATTTAACTATAACTTTATCATTCCTAGTCAAATTCCTACATACATTTTTAAATTCGATGTGTATGGATCTTAAAGGTTAGTAATTCTTTTTAGATTTGACACTTTTTTACTTTTATTCTTGAGTTGTTCTTGTTATGTTGTTTGCTTATTTTGTCGCTCTTTGTGGTTTTTGTTAAACATTTTGCCTAACAATGATTTGTTGATGTTTATTTAACATGCTTTATTTGTGATCGCCTTCCTGTACTTGCAGATGTTTGGTGATCCGCGTTATTTTGTCAGCTACAACGGTGGTAATCCGATGACGGTTGCCTGAATGCGCCTTCCAATCTGTACATACGACTTAGACTAAACACATAAATGCCTATGATTAACACAAACCGAATTCCCTGATCTGGCTTGACTGCTGTTCCCGAACGCACGCCTTTCCTGCCCAGAAATGTATGCAATATTCCTTGACACACGTTCACAAAAAGCATCTAGTGAGATATGGAACCTATGTACTTACTATCCCGGCCAATGGCAGACCGAAACGAATTGAATTGCTTGTGTTAACGATAGTATTTAAAACGAAATAAAGCATACAAGGATGCAGAACGTCAAGCATTTTATTCATACGCACACAAACTTAACTCTAAGAAATAAAAGTAAATGACAAAATTTAATTATTCATATATCGTCGGTGGGGCTTACACATTAAAAGATTTATCCATAATTACAAAAATACGAAACATGAGACGGGAACTAATAAATTGGCAATGCTTCTAAAAAATAATTGTCTAAACTGGAAAAAATCTCCACTATTCAACCATGAATTATTTGTAGGCTAAGTTTCAAATGCGGTAAATAATCCTACTAGCGAATGCTCTGGCGGAACACGCTCTGCTTGGCCTTGCTATTGGAAACCGCTTTCTTTTCCGCCAAGGGATCGGGAGCAAAGCAGTTCCACAGGCGCAAGGTTTCGTCGGCTCCAGCGCTGATTACAGTGCTGCCATCCGGGGACATGGCCATCTGCAGGACACGCGATGTGTGTCCAGTCAAATCGGCTTGCTTCACCATCGTCGGATACTTCCAAATAGTCAGTTGATTGTTGGCAAATCCATGGGCAGATATCAACTCCTTGTAGTGGCGTGAGAACAGAAGCGAACAGACTTGCGACTTGGAGTCCACTGATTTCATCAGGGTGCCATTGTTAACGTTCCAGAACTTAATGCATCGATCGGCGGTGCCGCCACCAGAGGCTAAAGTACTCGGCTGCCAGGGACACCAGGCCAAAGCTCGCACCGCAGCCTGATGATCGTTGAATTTGTGCAGAGGGTCGCTGGCAGTTCCCACGCCACTGCTAGATGCAGACCACACATTGACCAGATTGTCATTGCCTCCGCTGGCCAGGTACTTGAAGTCCGTTGACCACTTCAGGCCACAAACCTCCTGCGTGTGTCCGGCCAAGGACGAAAGCTTGTGCTCCCGCGAACGCACATCGTGGTGAACGATGGTGCCATCGCGACTGCCGGAGGAAACCAGGAACGAGTTCCAGGCCAGGGATCCCACTCGGGCACTGTGTCCATCCATCACACGCAAACGCTTCACCTTAGAGCAGTCCCACAGTTCCACAGCCCCAGTGTTGTTACCAATGGCTAGAATTTGTCCCTCTTGGATCCACGACAGAGATCCTGCGTAGTCGCCCTCCTCGAATTCCGTAAGTTGCTCGATATTTCCACTTTGGGCGTTCCACAAATAGACACAGCTACCCAGAGCCACGGCCACGATGTTGTCGCCACTCCAATCCATCAGGTTAAGGTCTGAAAATATAAATAAATGCGAGTATATAGTAATTAACCAAAATATTCAAATTTAAAGCAATGACATTAACGATCATTACAAAATAGAGATTAATAAATTACTAAGAACGTACAGTAATCGTTGATGAAATCAGGTGCATCCAGAATTCTCTCGGAAGTGGTGGGTATATAGCGTGATCCACTCTTTGTGGAAATGGGCGTCTTTATGGAGTACACAACTTTTAGTGGGTTGTTGTGCGTTTCCGGAGCAGCTGGAGCCTTGTTCTGGTAGCACAAAATGCGGCCACCTTTGGAATTGCCAACCTGGGCCACCTCGGAGAGTAGTTTCTGCCGCTCTCCCTTGTGAGCCGAAGCCTGGACATTGCTCTCGTTGTTGTTGCTAGTGGTGGCCTTCTCGTTCTCCTCATCAGACTTGTCGCCAGAGTCCTTGGTAACCTAAAAACAAATTGGAGAAACTATTTATAATAGAATGGAACTCTTATAAAACATAGAAATACTCTTTTATAACGAACTACCAAGAAACCACTATATCGTGGAGCAGAAGTTTGATACGAACTATAGGATGCCAAGTTTAAACAAAAAGACCTACAACAAAGAATGTGACTCTTTTTTTATTAACTTGGGGGGTTCTAGTTTAGTACAAATTTGTGAAAATGATTTAAAATAGTGGTATAAAAACCCATATAAACCGTAGACAACTCTTTTTTACAACGAAGTACCAAGTTCTAAATTGTTCCACTTTATCGTTGATTGGAAGGTTTATACGGGAAAAACCTACAACAGTTGAGGACCAGTATAATCCTTACCAGAAAGTGTGCCAGCTCGAAGTTGGTGGCCGCCCGATTCGGGATGAAACGATCACCGCCTCCGGGCGTCTTTGTGGGCGTGACTGTGGACTTTTTGGCCTTGCCCTCGCTGTTCTTTCCCGGAGTCTTTGTTGGCGCCTGGACGCCCGAGAAACTGGTGTTATACGAGACGGACAGCACGGATCTGGTGGTACTGGCGCTTCCATTAAGAGACGCCTCCAGCTTCTTTTTCCAACGCGGTGCAGGTCCGCGCGTCTCTCCGTCCATGATCAAGGCATTTTGCAAATCGCTCACGAAATTAAACTGCGACATGCTTTTCCGCTGTTTTCGGGGGTCAGAAAGTTTATTTAATTGTTACACAGTTGTCTGGTAATTGCACGTCAGTTGTTTAAAGTTCATAGATCACTTAGATCCGATCTGGAATTTTTTCTTCCTTGGAAGATGCAATATAATGGCGGTTCGATTCGGAAATGCAGTGTGGCCACAGGCGTTTAGCTGTATATGGTATTTTTCGTGTCTGAGAAAATACCCAAAAAATACTTGTTTCAAAAAAAGAAGATATCCATCTTTACAAAACTATTACTTTTATTTATTAGTTATTATTATATAGCGTTGAAGGGATGACGGTAATAAACATACATATGTTTAAAATAGAAACATAAAATAGTGTGACCAGCTGATGTGCTGGTCCCATGAATTTGTCCATCTCTGGTGAACAGCTGTCATCATCGCCGCCCTTATAAAAAACAAGTAAGTCTTACAATTGGAAGCCGAAATTTTACTTAAATAATTAGCAAGTCACCCTAAAAACGTGTTCCAGCGATATAACAAGATGGCCTTCAACTTCACCGCCTTTACGTACATAGTGGCCCTGATAGGCGATGCATTTTTAATATTTTTCGCAATATTTCATGTCATTGCCTTTGACGAGCTGAAAACGGATTATAAAAACCCAATAGATCAGTGCAACAGCCTCAATCCGGTCAGTAAACCCTAGTGTTTACATATATAGTTCACCATTTAATTAATTATTCAATAAATTCCAGCTGGTTTTACCGGAGTACTTGCTGCACATCTTCCTGAACTTGCTGTTCTTGTTCTGTGGCGAATGGTTTTCACTTTGTATCAACATCCCCCTCATAGCCTATCATATTTGGCGGTATGTGACTCATTTTACAGGCCTTAAAATCTAGTGCAATATTAGAATACCCTAATATAAGCATTACTTATGTTTTTACCACGTAATTGACTTACTCCCTCTTTCAGCTACAAAAACCGCCCTGTGATGTCTGGACCTGGACTTTACGATCCTACCACGGTCTTAAAAACCGACACCCTATCCCGGAATATGCGTGAGGGCTGGATCAAATTGGCCGTCTACTTGATCAGCTTCTTCTACTATATATACGGGTAATTATAAATTATCTCCTGGGTGGCCGGGTCCTCGTTTTTCTAACGATTATCGCTAATTTTAGCATGGTTTATTCGCTCATCTCGACATAGAGGTATTGAGGCAGCTGCCTCGGGATCTCATTGTTGGCGCCAGCGCATCCGCATCGTGTATTAGTTGTCAGAACTCAAGTGGAAGACTCCCTTTCTAAGGGAGATTCCCAATCAACCGCGAACAATACTTCACTTGTAAATTCTAGTGTAAAACCATACAAAACATATTGCAGCTTTGTTTTTTTATAATTTGTAACCTATTGTCTGCATTAAGATATTTTAACGTTTTTTATTATAATTTTTTTTTGCATTTCGCATCCTTGGTGTAGATGGATTTTAAGAATTAAATAAATGTCAAAACAAAGTAACCAATTTTCATTTTCTACATAGCTTAAGGGACAGCGGAGTCTTTTACTGAACACAAGAAACTTGGAGCAACCAGCACTTTTGACAATAAAGATAACCAGAAAGTACTTTACCTTATCAGCAGGGCCAACATAGATATAGTCCAATTGTGTGGCAATAACGATTAGCACGCAATTTTCATGAAGTTAGGCACATTTAAATTTCTTCCGTTCCGCAACATAAATCACTTATATAAAATTAAACTGCTTCCCAATTAAATGTTTTTCCAATTTACGTATTTATAACTTTATTTTACAATCGTTCCGGGAGGCCACAGCTTGAAATAAACAATATTGTGATTAAATCTTGGTTAACTTAAAATGCTGTATACATGGGTAGGTACATGGGGCTTTTTATGGGCGAAGGGCGTTCGATTACGACATAAAAACAACGAAGAACAGGAAGAAGAAAATGAGAACGCCGAATATCTTGATCATCAGCCAGCGGTTCTTGGACACAGACTGAAAGTACTTAAGGATCTCGCCGTGGGCCGCCTCGATATTTAGTTCCGCATCCGCCACATTCGTATCAATACGCTCCACGATCTCTTCCTGCTCCTTGACCATGTGCGCCAACTGCTGGAAAATGCCACCCAGTTCAACGATGGTAGATTCTATATTTTGCATGGTTTCCGCCCGCTGTTGGACGTAGTTATCAGAATCGTCGTAGATGGCCATCTGTGTCTGGGTTGACAGAAGGGGTGTGGTGTCGCTGCTGCCCATGTCTATGCTTACTGCCTGGTTCTCCTCGCTAAGCAGAAGCGATCCCTGCTTGGCCGTCGACGGGGAGACGGTGTGAGCGGCCAAAGGACCTGGTCCCTGGCTAAACTGATCCCGTCGCGTCTTCTGCTGTTTGAGGTTCTCCGTGCGCACCTCAAGGATCTGCTTAAAGTCCGTGCTCATGCTGGCCAGCTTGGACTGCAGGGCGAGTACCATGTTGGAGGAATGTGACACCAGGTGTTTGCCGTTCGTGTGACGACGCTGGTCCTTAGAGATGTCCTGCAGTCGGGCAATCTGTTGATTCAACGCATTCAGGTCGCCTTTGATTATGTACGTCAGCTCCTGAATCTCCTGCGGTCTGTCGTCGAATAAGCTCTTCTTTTTGGCCACTGAAATAGAGAACGGAAAGGTCATTTAATGGTTAAATTATATGACTATTTTACATAAAAAACACATTGATGAACAAACTTGTTTTAAGCACAATAATTGATTTTTTTAATCCTAAAATTGTGTAATGACTAGGCAAGAACCAAATGGAATTTTATTGTAATGACATTAAAAAGCAAGTAATTAGCTGTTTCTGTAAATTTTAAGAGACATTTGTGATGAATGGATCAAGTAATAATGTATTAAATTTTAGTCAGACTGGCAGCCTTAAGTTACTCTTGCTAGCATTTGGTTTTAAATAAACCCCTATTTATATATAAAATCATTACAATTTTTATCATATCAGTTTTTTGAATATCATTCAGTACACTAAAATTTGTACTTTAAAAGTTTAATAATAATAAATTGTACTTAAAAAGTTTCCTGGCAAGCGCAACCCCATACTTACGCATAGTGAGCTTCTCCAGCTTGGCGTAGGTGCTGGCTATGTTCTTGCCGATGAACCTGGCCACCATCATGAACTCCGAGTAGCTCTGCACCTGTTTGGCCTTGCGGGGATCGCGGATATTGACTGCACGGGTGATGTTGCGTGCCTGCAGCGATCGAATCGCGTTGGCGAACTCGACCGTCCGGTCGCGGGCGGCCATGACGAAGATCTCCAATTCGGGATCTGGTTCCTGGTGCTCCTCCTTCAGTGGGTAAAACTGCGAACTGGTCGGAATGGAAGCGGGGTAGCTGCTGTAGTTGCTTTGGCTATTGTTGTTGATGCCCGGTTGGTTGCCGGTGACCACGGCAGCGGCTGCACTTAGGGTGCGCAGTGCCTGGCCGGAGAAGGCGCGGAGGTTCCACTGGCGGGCCGCCTTTCCGTACTTGTCGTCCGAGTAGTCGTCGGCTGCAAGGGATTCCCCCGTCTGGGTGGTGTCCCCAATGTGGATTGCCGCCTCGTGGGCAGTTGGTGGTTGAACCAAGGACTGTGCTAATAGTCCCGATCCGACAACTGCTCCCGATCCTCCAGATCCTGCGCCTGCTCCTCCCTGCTGATCCTCTTGAATGGTATAGGTACTGCTGCTGCTGCTGTAATCCTGATCCGTTTGATGGAGGCGTCTTCGGGTTTGCATCTCATTTCAGATTGCAGCTTGACCCAGGGAGTTGACGTTGCCGTTTTTTCATATGCACACAAACGATCTGTTGGACTTTCCTTGCGAGTGGCGAAATTTTCGCCTTTGTTTTTCGCTCTTAAAGCACTGGTTTTCTGTTCGATTCTTCACTCAGTTCTTAATTGGCAATCCTGTGAGTCCTATACAAAGCAAAATTTGATTTTTGTTTAGGGCATTTTCCTTTGGTTTTGTCGAAAATTCATAATAATTGTTAAAGATTGCAGAAAACTCACTCACACGCACCCACTCACACTCACTCACGCACACAAACACACCTCACAGATGACAGATGACGATGACGTGTTTATATCTAAGCAACTATCGATAGGCACTTATACTAGCGGCTAATTTGATTTCCCGCCAGATCCAGATTTTTTTCTGTCAAATTCTTTTTATCTTCTTATCTGTTCCTAAATTCTTGCCGTACCTGAAGTCTGTTTCATGGCATTTCAAAATGGAACATAGTAATTTGTATCACTTTTTTTTTAAATTTACTTTAAAAGTAAATTTAATAGAAGAACTAATTAAAAGAACTTTGCTTTCATTCCTTTTCGTTGCAAAGACTTCAGCTCTTTGTTTTTAAGAAGCTAGTCCCGCTAAAAATAGCTAGTTTTGCTTAAGAAGTCCTGCCAGCACTGATTGGCACATATCGATAACCAACGGCGAGCAACGCTAGTTTTTTTCTTTTCAACTTTTAATTCTTCTCTTAATTAAGCAAAATAGCCATAGTTTATCAAAGAAAATGACACTGTATCACTTTGGAAATTGCGTGGCTTTGCTGACGCCTTACTACTTCACCTACAAATACTCTGGCCTGTGAGTTTCCCGCCGTTTATCCCGACCTGCCAAGTCCGCAGTGCTAGATCAATGAAAATATTTATGAATTGTCCCGGTTTTTTCACAGATCTGAATATGGGGCATTCTGGAAGTGCGTTCAGGCCGGCGGTATCTATATATTCACACAACTTTGTAAGATGCTCGTCCTGGCAACATTCTTCTACTCGGACGCTCCATCTTCCTCCAGTGGCGAGTTCAACTTCTTTGCGGTGCGTGTGCTTATCTTTATTTACATTTACCCAGTTATTAAGGTTAAGTTTTGTGGTCTCTGATTTGCAGGAGATCTTTCGTTGCAGCGTTGACATCGCCGATCTTCTGGGATTTGCCCTTATCCTAAGTCGCATTCCCGGCAAGGGACACTCAAAACTTATCACGGCTGGACTTGGCTGTAGGTTGAACCAAGTAACTTAATAAAATCCTTTGTGATCGGTATATTCCCTTAAGTAATGCATGTATATCTGATCAGTATCAGATAAGAAATCGCCTGTCCGTCTGTTACATATGCAATTTAGATGATACATTCCATTACCTAAGCCGAAAGGTAATTAAATTAGTGCTGAGGGCTTTCGAGTTATTTGTGACATTCAAATTTCTATTTATTAACCCTATTAAAATCGCAAATAATAACTTAAAGCTTTCCTCCTTTTCTCGCAGGGGCCACTGCTGAGGTGATTCTTTCCCGAGGCATCATGCTGTGGGTGGGAGCACGAGGAACCGAATTCAGCTGGATTTACATACTGAAGTGTCTGGAGTCGAATGTGCTGCTGGTGCAGCACATAACCACGGCCACTCTGATCTGGCTGTTCACCCGTCACGACCTGAACAAGGCGCTGAAACCGCTGGTTAGTCTGCTGCTGGCGGTGACTGTTTTCAAGGGCGTCTGGCTGGAGGGCATGCTCCACATCCTGACCATTGGACCCTGGCTGACAGTGGCTGTGAAAGCGCTGGTGGCTGCCGTAATTGGATTCTGCACGCTGCACATCTATTCGGGTCTGGCCCAGCAGATTGGCATTTAAAAAACTGTGCCAAACACTTTGTATTCCTTCTGTTTTGTAACTTGTTTATTATTTTGTTTGGTGTTGTCGCAGAGAGAATGAGATTTTGTAACAAAGACAACAATTACGGTTTAGAGAATTTCCCCAAATGTTAATGAATTATAGCTACGATAACGTAATAGTAACAAAGATATGTACATGACTTTTATTGGGAACAATGAAACCTGGACATCCTCGCCCAACTTAATAATATTTAAGTTAAGGTAAGGATGATCCCGAAAACTTACATTGCTAAACTATTTTTTTTTAGACAAATGAAAACAGTTAAAGTTTAGAGAATTTCCAAACTGTTACAAACATATTCACTTAGACCATGGCCAATTTAACAATAACGATATAAGAATGATGATCTTGAAATAGTTTATAGTCTTTTTCTTAGACAACTGTCGATTAGAGATTTGCTGAACTTATAGCTAAGTAGTACGAGACTTTGGATGGGAACAATGAAAATCAAATTGTGGACATCGTTGCCCAACTTAACAATTACAAAGTTGTGGTGATGACCACGAAAACAATTTTTTATAATCTAATTTGTAGGTCTATCGCCCACAAATATTTAGAAAGTCTTACTCTGCATTAGATTTTCTATAAGCTTTATGGACTCTTTGCCCAAAGTAATTTGATCCATTTCAATGGAGTTAGCTCGCTTTGAGATCTCTATAAAATTGTCACGAACCAGATCTGAAAGTGAATTGCTAAATTACTCTTATTACCTAATTTATTTCGAACTCACATAACAAATGGAGAAAGGCAAGCGAAGCTTTGGTGCGATCTTTAAACGATTTGAAAAAATCGTTGGCAGTGATTCCATTGATATTCGGATTATTACGCCAAAGATCAAGGAGGTCCATCATTACACTGTGGGTATCTGTGATCAATTGACATATTAATTAAGTAAACATATCTTTTTAACAGGTTGATCTCACCAAAATTATTCTCACAGTGGGTACTTTGTTTGTAAAAATTGTTATTGTTGCTTTGTTTAATAACATCCACAGAATGCAAAATAGGCGGTACAATGTCCTCCTGTTCAAGCGGCACGGGCTGATGAATATACACCTCTTGGTTTCCTGATTGCTTTATTTCGATTGCCGGAACAAAAATCTCCTTAGTTAGTTTCTCCGTGAACTCGCTGCCGAATATGGTTCTCAAGGTATTTTCCGCTTCGTATTCCATTTCAGTTGTTAAATTAACGACGGGGTGATTAATATGTGGAAAAATGTTACTACAAAGAAACAATTTTGTATTATATTTAACAAAAAATTATTAATTTTCTTACTTCTTGTTCAGTTTAGATAAAAGTTCATACGGTTTTTTGCGTGTTGCAGATGTATTTTGTACTATTAAAACTCTAGTGTTATGATCATCCATATACTTCTGTCTATGCTTTACCAGTTGCTCTTGTGAATATTTAATTTGCTTGTCTATTATTAACTTTCTTTTACGAGGATTCTTCGGCTGGCTATATGAAATTTCAACAGGAGGATAATAAAACGACTCCAACAATGGTTCACAACTTTTCTCAGTTGTATCAGCTGGTTCAATGTTATCTGGAAAAATTTGGGTCATAATAGCATTGTCAGCTTGAAAAATGTTTAATTCATCCAATCTCGGCATTTTATCTGGTAAAATGTTTGTTGGGTCCTGGGTTATTGACGGTCGTTTTACTATAAACAATGGAAAATAAGTTGAATGCAAAATTTTGGAAACACCAGTTAATTACAGGATTGTGTTTGAAATTTTTTTGGGTAAAGCTCTTCAAATATAGTTAAATCCAATTCATCGCTATCGCCAAAACCCTCAGATGGAATGATAGTGCTGTGATCCTCGTGACTTCGTCTCCCCTCAAAGATGGTAATGGCATGATATGAGCTTGATTGCGTAGAGCATCCCGGCAGTTCAATAGACTATTAATATAATTTTTAAAAAATATATACATAGTTTTAGTTAATAATAAACAAAGTAATGAATTTTCGGAATCCGATTTGCTTGATTAGTCAATATACATATTTGGAGAGATCCTTCCTAGTAGTGTAGGATTATAAGTCCGACTTAAATGCAGATAGCTTCAAAACGGAGAAACTAGTTTGCGTAGAAAAGGACGGACCGACAGACGGACCAAGATATTCTTGATACTTTATAGGGTTGAAACTGTCTCCTTTACAGCGTTGCATACTTCTGACTGAAATAATACCCTCTGCAAGCGATTAATTATGTAATGAAATGCAGCTCAATTACGGAATGACAAGTTTGAATATAGGAAGAAAATTCGTAAAAGGAAACTATTACTTGCAATTCCTCCACCAACTGGTGTGTGCACTCAGACTGCCAAATCTGACATTCAGATAGCATTTTTTTGTAGTACTCCTGAGATGCTTTATTCAAAAGTTCGGACTCCTGGCATCTGGGACGTTTGGAGACGGTCACCTTCGATTTTTTGGTGACTAAACGCTTTCGTTTCCGATTGACTCGGATCTCCGATTCCTTGACCACTACAGATTTTGTGGTCGTGACAACAAAGTCCAAGTTGGTACGTCTCATTTGATCCAGCAAATGTTTGGTATCTCCTAAAAGGATGCGAAAATATAAACAGCGTTTCCCCAATAATTAAATATTCAATGAATACCTAAAAGGATGTCCACCTGACACCTGTAAATGTCGGTGACTCCGTGTGCCAAACGTGTAATGTCCTTGAAACTGAGATTCTGCTTCTTTCTTGTTGCCAAAACACTCGATCCGCAAATTTTCGATGAGTTTTCCTCTATTAAATCATTTATTTGCTTGCTATTAGATTTCATCATCAGGTTGGGAAGTCGAATAAATAGTGAGATACTTATATACATATGTACATATATCTTTACTTACCAACAAGCGACGATATTGACTGCGGCGATCTCATTCCGATCTAATTGGGAAAAAGTCGAAGTCCTAGATTTGCTGCCGCCCACTTTCCAGCAGGTATCAAGGATGCTTCCTTCATATAGCTCCAAGTCCAGCTTAGGTATCGACATCTTAACTACTACATTAAACTTGTTACATATCTGTACCTCGCTTATGTAGTTTAAAAGTTATTCTAAATTACGCTAACTTGCTGTCGGAAAAAATGGCGCGGAAACCAACGGTACTATTTGGCAGCCCTGGTTGTAAAAAGCACTAGAGATGACAAAATATATTCTTATGTTTTGACGAGCTACAGCTGTTAAGATCAGCTGAAATCGGAAAATGGGAAGGTGGATTTGCTCTGTGGAAACCGGAGTATCACATTTGGAAGGCTATCTGGAATGAAATTTTACCAAATTTTCTTTTTCTTTTGCATTAAATTATTATTAAAATATATCTACAATAGCTAAGACAAACAAAGCTAGGTCAATTTTTTAACAGTAGCTGGAACGGCTGTTTGGTGAACCAGCTTTTTGACAAAATTTTGCTGAATGTTAAATAAACATCGTTTACAATACTCATTCGATATTTTTGTTTCTGTCTCTCAGTATTTTTTAGCGTTGAGAGAACGGTCGCACTGCAGGTGAAACAACAAAAAGCAAAAAACAAAGGCTATATACTTTTGAACGTTTACTAAAGGAACAGTGATAATTTATCCCCACGACAACTGCCAAAGAATCCGCAGGCCCATTCCCAAATTTCTCCCAAAACTTAAGCTATGGTAAGTGGTCGCAGCCAGTTCCGAAAATCAATTAGCAAAATGAAAACATGACTAATGAAGGGAGTGTGGGTGTGTTTTTGTTTGTGTTTTTGATCGGCGGTTGTTGTTTCCAGATAACATTGGTGTTTCCAGTTCGTTAATCAATTAAATCGGTTTCTTGCAGGGTGATAACAAAATATGTGACATTAGCAACGAAGTTCTGGAGGAATTGAAGAAGTTTCGCTTCAGCAAGAGCAAAAACAATGCCGCTTTGATACGTAAGATTTGATTGCCATGGTAACGAAAGGGTTCTGCTCTGTAATCCCGGGGTTGTCTTTCTTTTTCAGTGAAAGTTGACCGGGAGAAACAATCGGTGGTGCTTGATGAGTTCATCGACGATATCTCAGTGGACGAACTGCAGGACACCTTGCCAGGACATCAGCCCCGATATGTGATCTATACATATAAGGTATTTTAATATGTTTTTTCCCCCTTCCATTTCCTGACGTTTGTTTGCGTTTTTAACATTATTTTAGATGGTGCACGACGATCAGCGGATTTCCTATCCGATGTGCTTCATCTTCTACACTCCAAGAGATAGTCAGGTGAATAAAAGAATAAATATAACTTTAATAAACAAGATGGAAATCTCGGCAAATATGTTTATCCTGGGTGTCTCAGCCAATATTGTACTTTTTTCATTAAAGATATCATTTTAAATCCATATTCAACAACGCCTTCTTATACGTAAAATATCCACCAACGTTCCATTACAAACTCTTCGATTTCAGATTGAACTACAGATGATGTACGCCTGCACTAAGAGCGCTCTTCAGCGCGAAGTGGATCTCACACGCGTCTACGAAATTCGCGAACTAGACGAACTTACCGAGGAGTGGCTGAAAGCCAAGCTTAAGTAGAGACGTTTCGATCTCTGGGATCAATCATTCCAGGCCGTTATCAAAAGCAATACTTTATGATAGTTCTTCGATTGATTTCGGAGCATTTTATTGAAATATTCAAACTGGATCAAGCCGATACCAACGATGCATACCAATACCAAACAAACCAATATTGAGATACGACAATTTTTACCTACAGAAAACACAAATCAAGCTAAGTTTATACAACATAATGACAATTTTATATAGATGATGATCGCATGCGACAAATATGCGGGAGAGTTCTTAGTGATTTTAGTTCTTGCATTTAAGTAATAATCTTTATAGAAGCTGTGCTTGCCAAATTTCTACATGTATTTATTGTAAAAACATAAAAGCAAACATGACAAAAATATTCAATTTTATATAGACAAACTAAATAAAAGTGTTCAATATTGAAATACAAAGATAAAACCGATGTTGTGTACATTTATGTATTTTTTTTATTTGTGTCCTTCACTTCGTTACAAACTTATGTCCAAATAAGAATTACTTTTATTTTGGAATAAAATAGTTGTAGAATTATATGTTGCAAGCTTTAAATGAATAATATTTGTATAGGTTTCTTAACATTATTTTTCTGTAATACTTTAGTAATGCAACCTTTGAGCCGCTGTATGGTGAAGCATCGTATAGCGTCCTTCGCTGGGTGTGGGCGGTGGAGGAGGAGGAGGCGCGAGCATGTGAGCCATTGCTGCCATTCCCATTTGGGTGGCGGGATTTGGAGGCCCCAGATGATGCAGGGCATCGTGATGATAGTGATGCGACATAGGTGGTGCAGGTGGTAGCGGCAGACTCAGCAGATTATTATTTACCGCATGTGTGCGAAAATGTAGGCTGAGATTGTCCGCCGTATCAAAAGCCTTATCGCAATCCGGGCACTTGAAGTGAGCGTGATCCAGGGTGTCCAGACCCACAGGATCGGTGTCTATGGGTTCATCATCATCATCGTCCACTATATCGTGACTCGTACTAGATTCCAGGGGATGGAGTTTCAGTTTATGGGATCGCATGTCTCTTCGCCTGCTGAATGCTTTGCCACACACATCGCAATGGTGGTTTTTGATGCCCGTATGTGTTAGCATGTGCTTGGATAGATCGCCGGCTGTATAGAAACCTTTCTGACAGACCGTGCATATTTGATCCCTCACCCCTAAATGTATCTTTTGATGCGCTTGAAAATTGCCCAGGGCCGAGAACTGTTTGGAGCAAATTTCGCATTGAAAAGGCTTGTCGCCTGTGTGAGTCCGTTCGTGTACTTTCAAGTTATACTTCTGAGCGAATCTTTGGATGCAGAAGCTGCACTGATACGGTTTTTCACCCGTATGTGTTCTTATATGCTGCGTTAGTTGGGCGATGCACTTAAAGCTTTTGTGGCATTCGTAGCAGGTGTGAGGCATCTTAGGCAGTGGTTTGGGCCCCCGTTTCTTGTGCTCCTCCGGCGGTTTTCTTTGATAGCGGGATCGCCTTTTACTCACTTTGGAGTCCACCGGCTCCTCCTCATCGCTATCAGGCTGCGGTAGCGAGGGCTTTTCGGCAAAGTCCGTGTTGGTGGCCGCATCTTGGCGCCAGGTCTCAAGGATGCCCAGATATTGCCGGAGTCGAAGGTCGCTATTTTCGCATTCCTGTTTGAAGTGGAAGGCGACACCCAGGCGATAGATGCAGTTGTTGCAAATGACCGAAGGCAGGCCATCTGTTTTGAAAACCTTCAACAATAAATGTTTAAAATGTATTGTTTTTAAGTTTAGTTCTTAATACCCACTCTTATTTTGGCGCATTGCATCAGCATTACGGAGGGCATCATGGCGAAGTCTGTGCTATAAATCGAAGTCACCGGATGTAATTCCTCCAGGCAAACGCGACATATTTTATGTATATTATAATCCATCTTTTAAGTCAACTAATTTTTATTAATCAACAAACATTCGCTTTAGGATTTTTTTTTCAGAACCTAACAGCTGATTGCGACCAGGGCTGGAAATGTACAGTAAGTGCCATAAGTGAACCTGGTGTGAATAATTTTAATTGACTTTGTCAAGAGAACATTCTGAACAGATTTGAACGTTGTTCACTTTAGCAAGTGCATCCTGTACAACCTAATCGGTGATATCGATAAATAGTTACAAAATTGCTAACATTAACTAGATAGATTTAAATAAATAATAATAACTGCGTGGAAAAATACGTAACAATCTATTTATTTCTACTTTGTTAAATACTTTAATTTATAAAGCATAATAATGGCTGTGAGTGCTGCCAGACTTGGCAAAATAGTGTGACCCTCTCTCGTTTTTGCGCTGACGTGACGTGACAGTTGATTTGTTTGATTAAAATAAATAAGAGAAAAAGCGCAGACAAATTGACTTGGAATCAATAAATTCTTAATCGTTAGCCGAAAAAGAATAAGTAATCCGCGAATTGCAGAAATAATTGAAGAGCAGCAATCGGCGGAACGGTCGCGAGAGAGAGAGAGGGAGAGAGCGAGAGAAACTTGGAGCTGCACGGTGAAATTTCGTGGTTTCGGCACCCGACCCCCTGACCCCGCACAACACATCCACATCCATATGTATATCCATATCCCCAAGATGCTGTGTATACAATATTAGCGATTACCGACAGAAGGCAGCGCATGTGCCGGCATCCGAGGAAACACTATTTAATATTTGAGCTTTTGTAAACAAATTCTGGAGCGGCACCCGAGGTCAAACAAACTGGTGTGAATAGGCTTCGTATCGTTTCGTTTTGTTTCGTTCTGCCGAAAGTGCCAGTAATCCCGTGCAGCTTGCAATGGCCACAACTTTGGACAGCCAGCTGTTGCCCAATGGCAATCAGGAATTTAGGCTTAGGAATGGCAAGACCAAAAACGGAGAGGAGGAGGAGGTGGATGAAGGATCTGGTCTGAGTGCAGGTGCAGATGCTGGAACAGCACTAACCGCACACCCAAACACATCCGGCACCTTTATGAAATTGAAAACCTATCTCCTAGCTCTGCGTCCATGGTCGCTGTCCGCCAGTCTGGTGCCCACGCTCCTCGGCTCGGCCCTGGCCCACCGCTCCCAGTGGGCGGCGGAGTTCTCGCTGGCCACCTTTTTCCTCACCGCCTTCACCGTGGTCACCGTCCACTGCGCCGGCAACGTGGTAAACACCTACTTCGACTTCATCAAGGGCATCGACAAGCAAAAGGCCGACGACCGCACGCTGGTGGACCACATACTCACCAAGGATGAGGTAAGCACTCGATTGGATCGATCAGTTAACCCTACCGTGCCCAGAACTGGTAGAACTTTTCAAGGCGATATCTGGAATGACCTAAAAATCTTTCAGCAAAACCATTTACTTTTGTTTTTGACAAATGCGATGCCCAAAAACATATCCGTTTCTGTTTCAGATTCCTATAAAATTACTAAAAAAAAATATTTGTTGTATCTAAATAATGAAAAATATTCAAAAAAAATATAATAATAAAAGGCAACACACAAATAATTACTGATACTTTATGCATTTGTATACACTAAATTGTTTCCATACATTTCCCCATTTCTCCGACCGCACGTTTAAAATTTTTAATTTACATATACTTTGCTGGAAAAACTAATCACTTAACCACGTCGCATGCAGAGTGGCTAAAAGCCATAAAATATAAAATACGTATTGCAAAACATTCTGCATCATTAATTGCCAAACGTGACTTTCTTAATTTTAAAAGAAAACACTTTATAAAACTTAGAATGGCAATCAACGTATATTATTTTAAATTATCTGAATGAATTTCATCAGAAATGATACACTTTTTTTTGGCAAAAAAAATCGTGTTACGTTCATAATCCATTTTATGAACCGAAGTGTTTATAAATATTAAATTTATTGTGAATTATCAACGTGCTAATTAAAAACAATGACATACAAACAGAGCTCGATTTAACAAATACAATAAAATAAAAATAGATTGAAAGAAAAGGTTAAAAGGTTTAGAATAAGGATAAAGTTAATTTACTTAATCAAAAATGTGTAACTTTTGCTTTTATCTGGGCATTTACGAGTTAACTGAATGCTTTATAACACGTCCGTTTAACACAATTAAAATTATATATATTTGTTAATTCCCAGGTGGTTTCTCTGGGTGCCATTCTCTACATGGCCGGGTGCGGGGGATTTGTTTTGCTGGCGGTGCTCAGTCCGGCGAAAATGGAGCATCTGGCGCTGATCTACTTCGGTGGACTGTCCTCGAGTTTTCTGTACACAGGAGGCATTGGTTTCAAGTATATCGCCCTGGGAGATTTGGTTATACTGATACTGTTTGGGCCCATATCGGTGCTTTTTGCCTTCATGTCACAAACGGGTCACGTGGATTGGACGACAATGGGCTATGCGATTCCATTGGCCCTCAACACAGAGGCCATCCTGCACAGCAATAACACCAGAGATGCGGATAACGATCGTCGGGCCGGAATCGTAACACTGGCCATTCTGATAGGACGCACTGCTTCGCATGTCTTGTACGCCATGCTGCTCTTTGCACCCTACTCGCTGTTCTTCATCTTCGGCCTAAAGTACTCCCTATGGTTCCTGTTGCCATTGGTAACCCTGCCACAAGCCTTTCAGATAGAGAAGCGTTTCCGCAACGAGCAGACGATGCACCTGGTGCCACGGCAAACGGCCAAGCTGAACTTCTTCTTCGGCATCCTGTACATCGTGGCCTGCTGTTGTGCTCAGCAGTTGCCCACCTTTGGACTACGAAAAAATTGATAGACGGGGTGTACCTACGGATCTGGCAGAAACTTCGATTCAGAGAGAATCTGGTGCAATGTTTTTAGGGAATTTCATTAGGTTTTAGTCAATGTGTGTAGTGAGAAGGGAGAACGAAGCTTTGTCAATTTCCCACAGTTTGATGTTGCGCAATTTTCAAATGCCTGCTAGTCGCCCGTTATAGCCTAAACTTTTGAACTGAACATATCCTAGCCCTAAAGGGTCGATCATTTGACAGAAAATCTAGGGATAAATATAAAACATTTTACATTTGAGAATAAAGGCCTAATATCAGCTTGAAAGTTTCATATTTGAATTCAAAATTTTAAACCATGAACTTAGAAAGGAATCACTGTTAAAAAAGTACTTATACTAGATGATAGTTTTTTTTAAATAAACTTTTAATTTGTAAATTGAATGTTGATAATAGACCTTTAGTTTCTGTGTCAAATACTTAAAATTATTCAAAGATTTGTTCATTACCTACAATATCGACCCAAACCTACCTTGCTCGTTTTTATTTATTTCACATCGTCACTATCTTAAATCTTAACCAATCAATTACAACTCAATGTAATTAATAATCATACTCTTCCTCTCGCGCGTTGGGAATTACGGACCAAGAAAGTTATGTGCAACAGTAACCAGTAATGCTAATGAAGACCCAATTTTATATTATTCTAAAATATAAATCACCACATTCATACGGGTGCAGATACTTAAGTTTCGCGAATGAAAATGCAGATTTACTTTACGAATATAAGTGCTTGGAAATGCAGCTATGTTGAACGTTTTTTGGCAATTGGCTGGCTTGCTTTTTGTGTAACGATTGTTAGAGTTTTTACATATATTATATACACGAACACGAGCAAATATTTATATACACATCTAGATCATGTAAGCCCAGTGTCTAGCGGCAGGCTGAGAGTGAGAATATCAAAAGGAAAATCAAGAAAAACCTAAGTTAAACGACGAACAGAACACAAATTTCAATTTTTAAATAACTATGTACGTAGAGATGTCGAGGCGAAGAAGCAACAATTGTTTTCCATTAACAATAGCGTATGCATATAAACAAATAGCTTTAAATATAAACAAAAGAGGAGAAAGCCAAAACCTATTCGCATTATAAACCATTATGTAACTGAACATTTTTGTGGCAATATTTCTTTGTACGCTAGTTTTTGTATATTCATTCATGCTTTTGTATACTGCATTGAGAAATGCTTCTGTTGGAATCGCTTAACAGCCGAATTGAATTGAACTAAGTGAAAACTTCGTAGACTACAAATCAACAACAACATGAACAATAATAATTATAATGATATTGATAATTAAATGTTTAATTAGAAAATGTAAACATGAATTGTGTAATATATATTGATATATATTTTAGTTTGGAGTGGGGGGTTTCATTGACTTCAAAATGTTGACATCAGCCAATTAATTTTGGACAAGATAAGTGGATATTTATTGGATATTTCTATGACTGTGTACACCTTATTCCATGACGAGGTAAGTTTAAATTAAGTTCAAAAGGTAATAAACAATAATCTTTGTTATTCCTCTCTAGCCACCAACATGATGTCGTATGGTTTAACCGCAGCAGTGGCTCCCTCCAGAGGTTCTTCCTCCGGCAGCTGACCAGGAATTGCGACCATTTTAAAGTTCTGCAGCACTGTGGTCATAAACATAAAAAGATTCTGCCTCCCCAACAAGTCTCCCATGCAGCGATGGCGTCCAAAACCGAATGGATTGAAGGCTTCCGGTAGTTTCAAATGGCCATCGAAGAGGAATCTCTCGGGATCGAAAGCCTCCGGTTCGGGGAAGTCCACTGGGTTGATGAGCATACCCCTGAAGCAGGCTATAACCATGGTGTCCTTGGGAATTTCATATCCCGACAAGCGAGTATCGCAGACAGCCCGATGCGGAATGCCGAAAGTGTGGAGCATAAACATCCTGACCGCCTCCAAAGTGATGGCCTCGCAATAGGGCAACTTGGAGCGATCCCTGGACCACTCGGGAATGCGCTCCAGACCCACCACCTCCTTGATTTCCTGGAAGGCCCGCTCCTGGATTTCGGGCTGCAGTACCAAATGCATGAAGCAGAAGCCCAGACTTTTGTTGGTGGTCTCAGATCCAGCCAAAAACATGTCCAAGCAAATGGCCAACAGGCTCTCGTCACTGAACATCCCCTTCTCATCATTTCCCTCCTCCTGGGCACGAAGGTAGGAATCCATGAGGTCCCTGGGTTCATCGTAATTCTTGTAAGTCAAACGATGCAGCTCGATCTCTTTGCTCATAAAGGAGTACAGCGATCGATGACTTTCCACAAAACCATTGTAGCCAGAAAAGTCTGGAGCAATGAATCGAAGTAGGGGAAAATGACTGAATAGGGCACCCACCATATCGATGTTTTTAAAGAGCTCAAAAAAGGTCTCCAGTAGTTCCGTAATCTCCGGTGAACCGGGTTCATATCTCCTGCCACTCAGCATGCACCAGAGGGTGTTCAAAACATAAACACTGGTTAGGTCGTGCATCCCAATACGCGCCTGCTTTCCTCCAGACTTGGCCACTTGGTCCTTCAGATCCTGCAGCAAACAAGTTGCCTCATTGTGGACAATATCCATCATGCCACTTCTGGCAAAGCCGAAATTCTTCAAATGCCTCAGGATAAATCTACGCTGCTCCACCCACATTTCGCCATCGGTTAATAGAACTCCCAATCGGGAATTGAAGGTCCTTAGGCGATAGAATATGCCATCGGGTCGGCCATCAATATCCTCGTTCGTCATCATTTCACTAATTGCTAAGTTCGTGTAGGCTATCACCACCTTATCCTTGCCAATCTTGAGGCCAAAGAAGCCATAGGGATTCACATATTGCTTGGCAAACACATCGATCACTTTGCAAAACATTCCAAGACGACACCGCAGCTGTGAAACCTGCAGGGCACTTCCCACAATGGGATACCAGCGAGGTCCTGGCGGAAATCTTTTCGGTTTTCGCACTCCACCAAACAAGATTGCCAATAGAGTGGCGCAGAAAATCCAGATGACCGCATAAAACATGTTTTTCTGTTGCTTTCACTTTTCCCAGTTACGCAATCTTGGCTGGCTTTTCGGCTGGAGTTTGGACCAGGTTAGTTATCCACGGTTTCCTGGTGATCGTGATCCAGTCCACAGTGTTTGATCTCGCACCTGACGTTCACCCAAATCGACTGAATCCGCTTGGTTGGCTGGGCCTGGCTTTTATAGATGTCTTGTGAAGAGCTTTTCCTCTTGTTTGGGTTTTCTTTTGACGATTAAGTTTTCACAACAGTTGGGAGTGTAAACATACGGAATAGACAAACTTAAAAGGTGCGAGATGAGTATACATATGTTCTTTGTTTAGGAATTTCTTTATGTTGGTTTCTGTTCTTAAAACTTGAGCTAATATCGCCTATCTGTAAGAGATTTTAAAATTGTGATTTTAATTTTCCCATTCTTTAAATTGTGTTGTTTAATAAAACATAAATTGTAAAATTTATTTGTATTTGGAATACTGGATTAAGTAAATATTTTCAATATTTTCTAAATATATGCTCAAAGGATACGAATAACTTCTGAGGGAATTTTTATTTAATGAAATATTTTTTAATGGAATTTCCCCTTTTTACTGTAATAACTATCATTGACTTTATTTTATTTATTGGATTTTTGTGAATTTACCAACCTATTAATTTTTGCATAAAGATTATTAAATCAAGATTATTAGAACATAAATTATATATCTCCGGTATAGGAAATCGCACTGAGTTATCATTACAAAATATCCTTAATTCCATTATCCATTTAGCTTCAATATATATATATATCTTCACCCGTCTGACCCACTGCCTTGTGGGTAGTTCAACTACATTTTCCTCTGCGATTAATCGCCTCCAACCACCAACTCGAATGGTCATGGACAACAACGCCAAAGTCAAGGAAAACTTGTTGCGTTAAGAAAACCGCGAAAACGCAAATAGGAAAACCCGTTTGCTCCACATGAAAGGGAAAACAAATGGAGACGTTGGGAAATGGGGAAAAGACGTAGACGAAGGAGGAGGAGGAGTAGCTGCCTGGACAACTCGACTGGATGAGGCTATTATGTCATCGCCATCGCCATCACCATTGCGGAAAGCGGTGGGATGGACTCTGTTTTGATGATAGCTTCGCTGGTTCCGGTTTCTGGGGATCGGGGATCGTGGATCGGGGTTTTGCTGTTTCAGGCGATCAAACTGGAGCTGCCACCGATTTTTGGCATCCAATTGGGGTTTTAACACGGGCCACACTCGCGGAGATCGCCCATTTGAAGACTGGCACCCGAGCTGCAAAGACCTGACTGGACAGCAACTGACTTGGGATGGGATTCAGGTGAGCATAGCTATTAACTGACCAGGAACTCCTGTCAAGAGGCATGTAATTAATTAGAAGATTGCTTTAAAAATGTTGAGTGCTTAAATGGGTTTAAATTAATAGTTATTCTACATCTTTGTTTGTAAAGCAGATTATTATGTTTTCATTTTTTTTGAACCAACATATATATTTTTTATATCTAACCTTTTTTTTAATTTTAGCTGTTTAACTAAAATTAAAATGTTAAGGCAGGTCAAAATTCAAATTTAAACAATTTAGGCTTTAGAGAAAATTTGAATTTAAATATATTTTCATTAAATAACCTTTGCTTGGAGTTAATCACGCTTTTATTTGTAAACCCTTCGTAGGGTCGTACTGTTGGCTGCCACCGGCCTGGGAGCCATGTACATGATGCATCTGCTGGCCCAGGATTGGGTTAAGATTCGACCGATTCGGGGAATCACGCAACTGGCCGGAATGGCGACCCAGCCCCTGCAACAGATTATTGCACCCATCCAGCAGGCCAGTGGTTCCTTGAACTTATTTCGAAGCAGAAGAGAGGCGAGCTTAAACCAAGAGCTGGGTTGGGTGCGAAGGACTCAGGATTCCGGTGGAGGAAATGAAAGAGGTGGAGCTGCCCGAGGGATGGGAACTGTGCAGAGAACGCCAACTGCCATCGATTGGAAGAGGATCCTCTCAAGAGATCCCTTCGAGTGCCTGCAGTCCCTAATTTGCCAGCTAATGTCCGGTGCCGAAGCGAAAGTTCCGGAGGCCGAGCTGCTCATGGACTATCTGGAATCATCGCTGGAGATGGCTCCGGTGAAGATCGGTCGGGCCTTCAGTCGAGGATTGGCACTTAGGGGCTCCACGGAACTCTGCTTCAACGAGTACCCCTTTTGCCTCTATTCCGCCAAAACGATGTTGCGCATCCTGCGGTGGTTCAGTGAAACGGGGGAAGTGCCCGTGGAGGAAGTGGCTTAGTTGTGTCAGCTTGGAATCAATAAACTTAGGGAGAGAGTGAAATGAGGAAGTGAAAATGTGAGTTTGATTTTGGTAAGAGGTGTCAGTGCGTTTGTATTTCCGATTTTCCAAAATATGGAAATGGACACTTTTGTAGTTTAACCTAGCTCATATGATTAAACAAGTGGTAAATAGTGAAATGGGAAGGACAATCCCATTTTTGTTTGATAAAATATAAGGTTTTTGGTTTTAAGGAGAATGTGATTTAATAAAGATAGTTTATGAAATAAAAACGTACTTCTTTTAAGACATGTTTTCTACTCAATCTACAGATAAAATTTTAAATTATTTGCTTTCATTTTTATAGTTTTTAATGGGAACAATTTAAAATATGTAATTTATGTTTGTTTAATGTCTTTTAATGTTCACTTGAAATTTAATTAACACAAATGTTGTAAAACGTTAAAATAAACTTTAACAAAAAACGCAATAAAAGGAGCCAGAGCATGCTTTCAACTAAAGTGGCATAAAATTTCGACCGTAGATCCTGCGAACATCACTGTGATAAGCCCGGCGCCTGCATATCGGACAGCGATGGAATCGCCGGATGGCGGTGTGGATGCAGTGGCTCCCAAACAAATGGCCGCATCTCAACGATACCAGGTGATGTCTACCCTCATTCGTCCAGGGCGCCAGGCAGATGGAGCAAATGATGTCCTGCGACACCCTGGACATCCTGTCCAGCCGCTGGCTCAGGGCGTCTACGCCGGCGCGCAGTTCCCTGACGAGCACATGTTCGCCAACCAACAGAAAACGATCCGAGTTAGTCGCGTATGCCGATAATTCCGTCGCCAACCGTAACTGGATGCCACGACGCCGAGCAGTGTTTCGCTTCATCTGCAAACAGATCTCCTTTAGCTTGCTGAACTTCTCCTCCAGGCTGGAATCGGACTCCTCCATTGGCTGCTGTTCCACGCGCTCTAGTTCGTTCTCCAGTGTGTTGAACTCTTCCAGCAATGACAGGATATTGTTCTCCCTTCTGTGCGACTCTTGCTCCGCTGACGACATTTTGTCTTGCTGTGACATTGAATGTCGGACAGCTAGATTATTTGTTTACTCACCTTTCAAAAATTAGCATTTTATAAAACGTTTTAAACATTACCTTCGCCTGTATCCATTTTGAAAAGATTTTAATTATCACCATAACTATTTGATGCTCTTTAACGCTCCACCATTAAGTTGCTAATATAATAACAACATTTCCCTTTATGAAAATGCGAAGAAAAAAGTCCAATAGATAAAAAACAACTTGATTATAGAAAAAGTTTATTAATAACAATACATTTTTCTTTGTAGTTATAATCAGTATGCAAAAATATTCATATACACTCTATGTTACAAATGATAAATCATAGTTTAGAGGAATGAAGTAGACTCAAAAGCGATTTAGCTTCATCTTAATATTTGAGATTTGGGTTTTGTTGCTTTAAATAACAAATGAGCGAGCGATAATTCAGTTAATAAGCTTTCAAAGCCTACAGCATTAACGAAAATAAGTTAAGATAAAATGTTTGATTTGTTCAACATATTTTGTACATAAGAGAGACGAGTAGTATAAGAGAGCTTCTTTTGCGACTTCCATTTGTGCACATTGTATGGAGATTCTCGCATTGATTTGAGCGTAAAAATAATAATTTAAAAATGAGAATAAAATGGGAAATAAATTCAATAATAGTGAAGCACATTAGGCCAGCGGAGATGTCTTGCCACTGAGTGTGACACTCGTAACATCCTTGACAATCATTTCGGCCACTTGCCAGGCGATCTCCTCTTGCACATTATCCTCCGGCAGATTCACCAGCTTGCGCATTGCATTTTTGATTTTGTTTCCGCTGACACTCAGTGACCATGGTTGTGATTTGAGAGTTACTGCATCCACGGCCTCAAAGTCCCGCTCATAGCGTCCTAAAGAGTTAACAAATCCGAATTTAAGTGCACCCACAGGACGCTGCCACAGTAGTTGGGGATTGGTTAACTGCCTGGCGTCGATATTAAGATTTCCAGACTGCTGACTGATCGACGTTTTCGATGGCAGCGTATCCATCGAAGCGAGCAGTGTGTTGTGCTGCGAAATGTGCGTGCAGTCCGACATGGATAGGGTCTTGCGATGACGCTGCTGGGCATTGGAAGTTTTCCCAGTTCTCCGCAGACTCAACTTTTGCTGTATGTTGGAGTGAGCGGTGTAGTTATCTGTGAAAGCAAAACTTAAGTTTATACGGAGTATACACTCAATATAAAATGAAGAACTCACCTCTTTTAACCTTCAGTTCATTCACATAGTTATCAAATATTTGGGATTTTAAGAAGCTAGCAAAGTACTTTTGCTCCAGATACTTGGCCGTTACCAAGAGGGCCAAATCAAAGGCTTGCCACTGTTCGCTTGGAGCGCAGATGGCTTGTTCCACCCTTGAGCGCAGCTTCTGGGACATCCAGAGACGACAATCGGATTGCAGCGAGAAGTATCTGTCGTATATGATCATGGCATCGCTTTGGGCAGCCTTGCAATCCTCCTCTTTTTCTTCGCCAGAAGCAAAGCTTTTTCGAAAGTTAATGCCCGTGATCCAGAACTCCAGACATTCACGCTCTTGCCGCTGTTCCAGGTACTCGGTAAAGTAAAATAACGCCAGTTCGCTGTTCAGGACATCGTAGATGTTAATGGAACCGCCTTCGACCAACTCCAAGCAGTAGGTGGAATAGTAGCCACTCTGCAGAAATCCCTGCAAATGATCCCGTTCCAGTTGCTCCAGCACAAACTCCCTGGCCTCATCAAAGCAGCTGGCTGGGATTGGCTTACTACATTCAGATTTGTCCCTTCCACACAGGAGCAGCGATATGTGCGCTAGTATGACGATGGGCAGATCCACTTGCAGGCTGGCATTGACTATCAGATATTTCTGATAGATGGCAATGGCGTCGCTAATGCTGGCCCGGGAAAGTTCGGAATTTGGGACACATTCCGTCCCGGTCTTCTGCCTGTTGATCTGTTTGTTGGTCTCCGCATAAATCCGGCTCTTTTCGTCGTCCGTGAGGGGTTTTCGCATGGACAGATCGCATAGCGTCTTCAGTTCAGGTACATAGTTGTCATCTTTGTTCGGAGAAGATTGTTCCGTCATTGTGGGAGGTTCCTCTGGCTCCTCTTTCTCCTGCGTGCGTGCCGCCCGCTTGAAGTTCTCAATGTCCAGATAGAATTTAATCAGAGGCAGGCCTTGTCGGGTGTCCAGATACTGCACAAAAAAGCTCAGGCAGTTGGGCTCGCTGACGATCGAAGCCAGGTTCATTGAGAGGCGCGAACTGTAGGTGAAAATGTCTGGGGAATAACAAGAGAAACGGCCTTAGTTTTAGGTTTCTAAAATGTTTTTATAAAACCAGAGATTGTTTAAATTTTTTATAAAAAACGTGTACGATGCAAAAGAATATTCTGAGATGTATAAGGATGTGATGTCGAGATAATAAATTCGCGACTTGCAAAACTTTTATGGGATTCCCACCCTAATCATAAGCATGTGAATAGCAATTCAAAGGTGCGATCGTGATGAGCAATTGAATAATGGGCGATGAGATAATTACCATCGTTGCTATTGCTAGAGAGGCTGATTCCATCGGAGGAGATACCAGTGGCAACTTCTCCGAATCCCACGCCACCCCCACCGCCCTCTTCCGACGCCTCAAGGAATACTTCGTCGCAAAAACTTGTTGTGGATCGCAGAGAATGACGTTTGTGTGCTCCATCGATGGTGTCCACATCATCGCTGGCTTGGGCACAGTTGGCATCCGTGGCATCTTGGCTGCTGAGACGTCGGCCTAAATAAAGAAAAACTTTTTATTAGTGTCAACAGAAGGGTGAAGAAGAAGGGCAAGAGGAAGAGGACAGGGGTCTGGTTTGTAAACAGTACCAGAATTCACTTGACTTTTTTACTCACTTGCTTGCCTCTTTAAGTAATTTAACATCTTTACATTTTCTCCGGCGTAATAATAATAATTAATAATATTAGTTGTTGCTATTAATTTAATGCGACGGTAAATATTTTGAAACAGTGTTGCCAGACGTATAAACTGATTTCGTCCTAAATAATCGCGACCAACCCTGATTTTCCCCTAAAAAATCCAGTTTTCCCTCTAAATTATAACACACGTTAATAGCCTTTTTAGACTATTCGCATCAATTGTCGAGTATGCGAAAAATGAAGCAATCTTTAAAAACGTTAGTAAGCTAGGGGGTAAATAGTATAGTATAAATAAAATAAACATGCTTTAATAAATTAAGTTTTTAGGCATAATTTAAATAGTTTTGGAAGTAGTTGGAAAAAACATGTTCCCACCAAACAAGAGGAGTTTTTTAGGAAATATTTTAAATGAGCATTGAAAGAGTTTGCATCCCCAGGGTTTATGGTGAGTTACCCCTTAAGTTATTTACACAGTTTGCCAGATGTAAAAACTGTTTTACTCCTAAATATTTATTTGACTTTTCCTAATAGCGAATGTCAAATGGTTCATGTCTCCACTGGCTTTACATTGTCGTATACTTTTGGTTGGCAGATGAATTTTACAAGAAAAAGAGCGATGTTTTACCGAATGTTTCCAGATGGCGTATGAGTAAAAGATGACACTCAAAGAGTTTTATAGATGGCGTATGAGTATCCGCCAACGCTTAACAGAGTCCTGTAAGCGAATCGAAAACAGTGTTGAAAAACGCCCAAGGCAAAAAATCTTTCTTTGTGTTTCTTAACGCGTTTTATGGTCACTTTGTTGCGCTGGAAAAACATCATCTCCAACTCTCGGTCACTCAGAAATTTTTCGCCGAATCGAACGAACGCGAAGCAACGGACGGAAAATCGCATCTCCGATCGGAAATCGTACAGCCAATACGCCTGTGTACACATAATATCAGCCGCGTGTGTATAAGTGCCAGTGCGGTGCAAAATAAAAAACAGCTGCGAAATACAGAAATCTCAAGCAAAGAAAGAGTGTCGGAGTGAATAGAAAAGGAAACTTCTCAGCGCGCTAAAAGTCGCTCTCTTCCCCTCTCTCTCCATTTCACGGTGTTTGTGTGCGTAAGTAGTGCTAGTGTGTACGAGTGAGACGGGCAAACAATTTGCCGCTAAATACAAAAAGCAGCTGAGACCAGCTGACACATGTGTGTGTGCGAAATACAATAAAAGGCTATAATAAAGGCTATAAATAAATTGCAAATGTTTATGTAGCCGTGTGGCCAAGCAGCAGCAGCGGCAACAACAAAACGCACGTGGCGCAGACAAATTTTGGCCACGATAGTAAGCAAACACACAAACACGATCAAACATGTCCGCCGTACCGGTTGCCATCAAAACGGAGGAGGTTATTCTAGAGCACGCCGAATACAACAGCGCCGAGGAATTGGATGAGGAATTACAGTAAGTTTACCTATCAAATTACCGAAAATGTTTGTGAGAAAAACCTAAAACAACAACGCGAGTCAACAGCTTGGCTTGCATTTTTATCACGCAAATTATTGATTATTTTTACTACTTTGCTAGTGCGCTCTCTTTGGTCTCTCTTGCCCTCTCTCTCTTTCTATCGTTTGCTTTTTGCCGCCGTTTTGCCGACAAAACAAATACGGCACAAAAACACCACCACCATTAAGGCACGACCAGCACACACACACACATCGCATTCCATTCCAGTTTCACTTCCATGCCATTTTCTTGTTGCTGGAATAAATGTGACGCTTCTTTTTTCTCACATCTTTCGTGTCTCTTCTTTCCTCTCTCTTTTCCTGCTGTTCTCGTGTTTTCACGCTCTGTCTTTCGTCGTCCATATTGTAAAACGGCTGTTTTGTCAATTTTTCAGCAGCGTCGGCAGACGGAAAGCAGTGCAGGCACAAATATTAGTCATGGCCGTTTCAGCTGCTAAAAAATCTTTATTTTGAGTAATTTAAATAAATAAAATATTTTGAAATTATAAACAATACACATTATAATAATAATAAAAGAACATAATACCTATAAATAGTCTTTATATTTTAATTAATATATTTTGAGCAAGAACGTAAAGAAAATGTTAAAATGTATTATTAATTAAATGATATTTAATTGATTTCATGATGCCATTTTAAAAATTAATTTTCTGCCGATTCAATAATAATACAAAATTTAAGTTGGTTCTTTTGTACAGAAAGCAAATGCTCAAAATATTTAAGCAGCCCTTCTGAGTCTATTTTCAGATTCAAGGTATTTTTTGGCTCGGTAATAGTTTTATTTAGCACAATTAAATATTTTTTAGAGAAAGATTATACTACCTTACATTTTATAATTTTACAAAAAAAAGAATATATAAGTAAAGATTTTTACAGATTTAATTTCCCCTTCTCTATGCCTTTTCTAAAATAATTGGTCTAATTGTTTCAGCTGCTGTTGCTATTTTTTATGCCCGTTGATCGTTTTACTTTTCCCTCTCCACCCATATCTTCCATTCTCTGTCTTTCGCGCTCAGCTGCCAATTTGCTCTAGCTCACATGTTCGCGTTATCGGAGGTAAAAAAAACAGCTGCGCACCCGCACCTCCATCTCCCCCTCTCTTTCGCTCCTTCTCTTCGCTAATCGTGCGTTGCCTAATCAACATTTCTATTTTTTTCATGTTCATAGTTGGATTGAAATCAGCTGTACCGGTATATTCGTATCATCAGATGGTTTTGCTTTGCTTTTGTTTACACGCTTTCCGTTCCCTCTCTTTCCCCCTTTGTTTTTATACAGACAGAAACATTATGTTTTATGATGTTTACTCCCGAAATCGATCATTTTAAACATTTCAATTTGAATTTAAAATGTAACATTTTTAACGGAATTTGTATATGATTTTGTCAACTTTTTACCATTCAAGTCATATTCAATAATACAAAAATAACATGGATACAATTTTTACTTGCTAAAATGAAAAAACTTAGTTCACGTGCTTCTTTTCTCTGTGTACCTGAAACACAAACAAGTGGCGAGAAATGTGGAAAATGAATTACTTGAAAAATGTACAGTTTGAATTTCTTAGTTTTTTCACTGCCTTTCTTCGATCGTTTTTGTTTTGCGAATTTTTGCAGCGAAAGTTTCTTTTTCCTTGCCGGCTTATCAGAATCATATGGTTGCGCTTTTCGTCTTTTCACACGTCACAAGAGGCGCCTTTTCTTATCGCTGGAGCATACATATGTATGTTTTTGCACAACCGCAAAGAGAATCGAAAAATACACATGCATAAGTATGTATATTTGTATGTCCACATATACTAATACATTTCAGCTGGCTTTTCAAGGCTTTTATTGTGTTGGCTTATGTACCGGGTAAATAAATATATTAAACTTGTCACAAGCCATATGTTTTTGTTCGACAATTTTGCAGAACAATTATTTTAATTTAAGAGATCTTATATATTTTGTATGTAAATTTCACAACAGCTATGTATTCGTAAAATTAGCAAATACAACAAAAAACCTTACTGAACAATTGACGGAAAGTTTATACTTATTAACTCAGAGTATTAGCAGCTTATATTTAGTAGTAGCTTAAAATTAATTAAAAAAGGCCAAGAAACCTTCACAAAGACTAGAAATTGCAAACATTTTTTATTTCTATTAACCAGAATACGCCCGCCGTAGGTAACTGTTAAAAAAGCCTAAAAACCTTAAGGTGAACTGTTAGTTTAGCCACTAGTGTGGGCGGTATAACAACTGCGTTTTAGCAGCTGCTGTTCGCTTGTTTTTGGTGCTAAAATAAAAGAGCGTGCCTTGGCTAAAAGTCTCCACTTTGCTCCTCTCTTCCCCAATCCTCTCCATTCCACACGTTGCACATTTTCGAATACTACGAAAACCATGTGTTGCGGCTGTTGTTCTTGTTGTGTGGCGTCATTTCCGTTTTTACCCCATTTGACTGGAAAAGAGGAGCAATTCGAGCGACGGAGAACGAGCATTTAAAACTCTTTCTCCCTCTGTCTCGCTCTAACTGCAGTTTTATAAGAGCCGCTCCCCATGTACATAAGCGAGAGTGCCCCCTTTGAGTTGCACTCAAAAGCTTGCTGAGCAAGAGAGAGGCAGAGAGCACAAAAGTACAGATGCCGCCACACACATTTTTTTTTACTACCACACAAGTTTCATTGAAAAAACATATACACAAAAGCTAACGCTAAATCCCACTGCAAATTTGAGAAAAAAAAAATGAAATGAAAACTAATACCAACACATGGCTTCAAATCTGCTGCGCAAATTTTTGGGCGATGGCTCCGTGTGTTTCGTTTCGTATGCCAAAACGTTTCATTTTGTTTTCGTTTCGTTTTCACAGCGTTTTTCGCATGCGGCATTTATTGGCAACCTGCGAGCGAAAGGGAGGGCAGAATAATATGGTGTGAGTGTGACAGAGACAAACCGATACGGCTTGTTTATGAAAAACACATGATTTTTGTGTACAACAGTTTTTTGGCCTGGCGAAAGAGAGGAAGAGGAAGAAGAAGGCGAAACTACTACTGCAACACCATAGTAAAACAAATTTGTGATGATATATATCATAATATATCAGCCAATGTAAAAAAAAATGATTCCAGTACAAAAAAATAACAGTAGAAAATGTTTTTATAGCCTATGAAACATTTTCGAAAAAGTTTTAAACGTTTTATATTGCTCTCATATACGCATCGAAAATAATTTTGACAGATAATTTATAATATTACAATGATATATGTACATATGTATATAAAATTTCTCGTCAGATAATAAGAATTAAATAAATTCGATATCATTTTAAAACTTTAAAAGCCTTGCCCTGTTCCCCCTTATCTTTGTTATATCGAACTCTTAAGCATCTCAAATATTTGTATAAGTATAAAAACATTTGTTTACAGCGGCTAAAGTTTCTATAAATTTCTTTAGAAAACAAACAGCTGGAATATAATTTCTTTTACGTTTTCCGCTCTTGATCCCCCCTATACAATTTCTATTTGCTTTTTTTAAGTTCTTTTGTTTATATTGTTTTTGCAAATGTGGCGCCAACTGGCAGACGCAACTGTAAAATTAGAGATGGGCGGGGAAAT